GTTTGCGGATAAAAGCAGATGTTTGCGGATAAAATCAGATGTTTGCGAATAAAATCAGTTGTTGTGGATAAAATCAGATGTTTGCAGATAAAAGCAGATGTTTGCAGATAAAATCAGACGTTTACGGATAAAGGCAGATGTTTGCGGGGGTGCACTAACCGGATGAAATAAGGCGTTCGCAGATAAAAGCATGTTTACGGGTGAAACTGTATGAAAGCAGATGTTCGCGGATAAAATGAGATGTTTGCGGATAAAAGCAAATGTTTGGGGATGAAAGCAGATGTTTGCGGATAAAAGCAGATGTTCGCGGATAAAATGAGATGTTTGCGGATAAAAGCAGATGTTCGCGGATAAAAGCAGATATTTGCGGATAAAATCAGATGTTTGCAGATAAAAGCAAATGTTTGGGGATGAAAGCAGATGTTTGCGGATAAAAGCAGATGTTCGCGGATAAAATGAGATGTTTGCGGATAAAAGCAGATGTTCGCGGATTATTGCAGATGTTCGCGGATAAAATGAGATGTTCGCGGATAAAACAGATGTTCGCGGATGAAAGCAGATGTTTGCGGATAAAAGTAGATGTTTGCGGGTGATTGCAGATGTTCGCGGATAAAAGCAGTTGTTCGCGGGTGACTGCAGATGTTCGCGGATGAAAGCAGATGTTTGCGGATAAAAGCAGATGTTCGCGGATAAAATAAGATGTTTGCGGATAAAAGCAGATGTTCGCGGATGATTGCAGATGTTCGCGGATGAAAGCAGATGTTCGCGGGTGATTGCAGATGTTCGCGGATAAAAGCAGATGTTTGCGGGGGTGCACTAACCGGATGAAATCAGGCGTTCGCAGATAAAAGCATGTTTGTGGGTGAAACCGTATGAAAACAGATGTTTGCGGATAAAACCAGACGTTTGCGTATGAAAGCAGATGTTCGCGGGTGATTGCAGATGTTCGAGGATAAAAGCAGTTGTTCGCGGGTGACTGCAGATGTTCGCGGATGAAAGCAGATGTTCGCGGATAAAAGCAGATGTTGGCGGATAAAATCAGATATTCGCGGATGAAAGCAGATGTTTGCGGATGATTGCAGATGTTTGCGGGTAAAAGCATATGCTCGCGGATAAAACCAGACGTTTGCAGATAAAACCCGACAAAAATAGACGGAAAAAAATGCAGGTAATCGCGGATAAAAACAGACGTAAGCAGACGTTTGCAGATGATTCCGGACAAATTCAGATATAAACGAAACACAGTGAAAACGGTTAAAAACAGATGATTGCAGATGATTGCGGGGGTGCACTAACCGGACATAAAACACAACCAACCGGGTGTTTGTGGATATAACGATGCGGACAAAAGCAGATGTTATCAGATGATATTTTTACCCGCTTTTATCTGCTTTTATCCGGCTTCGACGAAGAATTTATAGCCGCAATCATCTGCTTTTATCCGGTTTTGACGAAGAATTTATATCCGCAATCATCCGTCATTTTCAGCAGGGTAGACATTATTCGTTGCTAAGTATATCGGTCCAAATCAAATCAAATCAAAAATGTTTATTTACAAATATCACAGATATAGGTATATATGTGTTATATATAACACAGGGCCCGCCGTGCGGGGGAGCTCCAGCTGAAGAATGGGCCCCTTTGACCTCCTTGCTAAAATTCCTAATTTTTTTTAAATAAATACCTAATAAATAAATAAAAAATTGTTAAGAAAAGTAAAGAGGCGCCTGAAATTAAAAATAATCTTATTCCAAAATAAATCTATATGAATCAATCATAAATATATTTTATCAAAAGGACATTTTTTGATGAACTTGCAACTATAAAGAAAAATATATAAAGAAAAAACTATTTCTTTATGAGTTCTTAACTTTTAAAAAATAACACGATTCCTGCAAAATATAACATATTAAAAATTAACGTAAATATACAGGGTGTCCCAAAACTCGCGCCACATAGAAAACCGGAACGTGCCGAAAGTAATGTGAAACACATATTTGAAAATTAAAATTGTCTAACGCAAAGGATAAGCGAGATAAGAATAAAAAACGATAGCCAATCCCAATAGATGGCCATAGGGAATTCTTTAAATTGCTAGGATACTTAGGTTGCATTGTTGATAATAAAAAATATGTAAAATATTTGGTCCACTGGAATCCAATTCATTGTGACACTGCTGTCAAACTCCTGTCATTAATATTATATTAGGTTATAAATTAAGTTATTATAAATAATGTTTTCCTTAGATGATTATACTGAAATGATAATTATTTATTTATTTAGTGTGGGCGCAACGCCAGGGAGACAACGCGAGTTTTTTCCCAGCCCTTTCCTAATCGTTATTTTAAAACATTGGCGTTCTGAAGTATAAGTCATAGATTAATAACCTCATTTTTGAAAGCTTTTGACAACTTAGTAAATACAGTTGGCCAAAAGATTTTTAAATGTTTTTAATACAACAATGTTCTATCGTCTCCTAGCAATTTTTAAAGCTCTTACGTTTAACCTAGGCGAGAGCTCTCGGTATTGGCTGCCGCTTTTTTGCTCTCATTCGATTACACTATTACCTAGAAATTTTTTATTTTTAAATTTGGCATCTCCATTGCTATCGGCACGCCCCCTTTTTCTCTGTGGCGCGAGTTCTGGGACACCCTGTATAATCTCGTCCATTGGTAAATAAAGGCCTATATTAACGTGCCCTGTTTTTTCCAGGTGCTTTAAAGACAAATTGTATAAAACACAATCTGAATAATTTTTTTATTAACATATCAAAATCCAACCACTAGATTTTTTCTTCTTGCATACGTGTATTGGTGGTTGCATAAATAAGGTAGGTATAGAGAAATAAAATGATCAATGATGGAATGCATAGAAAACCCCGAAGGGTTAAAGAACTATTCCAAACTCATATCATGATCTTCAAAAAATGATATTTACTTCATACACATATATGTATTTTAAACTTGAACTTTTTTATTTATTACCCTTTAAATACAAGATTCCAATGGAATCATTCCATATCAAGAATATAAACTAATACATATAAATATCACAGCAAATCACAAATTATTGCAAAAAGAGATATATTTACATATTATTTCTTAAAGCTACATATATAGTGTTCTTGAGCAATAGTTGAATTTTTTTTAGATTTTGTTATATATTCTGGAAAATCCCGGACAACATTCGTGATATTCATACGAACATCATGTCGTGATTTTCACAAATTTTATTCATACTGATTTCATACGGAAGTCATCGCGTGATAAATGAAAATCATACGAACGTCACGGCGTGATTTTCACAAATTTTATTTATACGGACATCATCCGGATGTCACTGCGTGAGAAATGAAAATCATGTCGTGATTTTTTATGCGATCGCTGTTTGCGATTGACCGATGGCACAAAAAATCATGTCGTGATTTTTTATGACCAAACACCGATGATATAAAAAAATCATGTCGTGATTTTTTATGCCATTGATGTTTGGATATTTATTTTTGCGCCACATTCGTACATTGAGAGAAAAAGTATACCTACATATATATTTAATCAACAGTTTTTGTGGTTGTGGCAATATTTTTTTGGATTAAAATTATTAGTTAATTTACATCCAAGAAAATATTAAATGTATTTGACCGCAAAAACTGGTAATTCAATTGTTAACATACTTTTTCTTTCAATGTACGAAAGTGGCGCAAAAATAAATATCCAAACATGTCGGTGCACCGATGGCATAAAAATCATGTCGTGATTTTTTATGCCCAAACACCGATAGCATAAAAAACCATGTCGTGATTATTTAGGCCATCGGTCAATCGCAAACAGTGATGGCATAAAAAATCACGACATGATTTTCATTTCTCACGCAGTGACATCCGGATGATGTCCGTATGAATAAAATTTGTGAAAATCACGACAATTAAAAAAGATATTACTATGTTTAACAAAACGTTCACGTTTTGTTAAACATTCGAATATCTTTTTTAATTGAACCCGGACAACATTCGTGATATTCAAACAACGTTTTATAAATTATAACGGTGTAATGTGAATAACAAACTAGGTATTAAATTGTCAGTTCGCAGGGCTCATACGCATGCGCAAATTTTGCAAATATCACACCGTGAGTCCTACATGATATCACTGTGATGAAGCATGTGTATGCACTCAGGATATCACAGCGTGATAAAAAAAATCACGTTGTGATATCATCATGACTTCAGCAGGAAATCCTGATTGTTGTTCGGGATGTTATGTAATATTGTAAATTGTTTCTTGTAGAATAATTGTGATTATCACAATTTATTTAGGTATAGTTTAACACATTATATAAATTATTTTTACAGTGTCCAACTTAATTTGATGGTTACTATTTAAAAATTTTAGTTCATAGTTAATATTAGCCATGTGAGTTTTAAGATCATTTTAACTTGCTTGCCCCCAAAAAGCAGTGCATTATACACTAAATGTTTTGTTTTATTATTTAATGCATTAAATATTGCATGCAGTCGAGTTCCTATGAAGGTAAAAAGTTTTTACTAATTAGATATTTTAGTTTTTATGTGTTAAGGGACAAGTGGACAATTACCACCAGACTTACTTATACCAGAGACTGCTAATACTGAATAAGTTTAATTTGCATGTATGAATATTCATTTAAGCCTGTTGTGCCCAAAAAGTAACAGTTAAGTTTTTTTAAATATTTTTATATTATATATATATATATATATATATATATATATATATATATATATATATATATATTTACCTATACTTTTTATTTTAAGTTTTATACACAAATATTAAATATCTACCATAGTTTTAAATAAGATAATGCATGATCAAGAAAGAAAAATGAAACATTTTATAAAAATAATATTGTCCTCTTGCCAAGTTTGGTATTCTCTTCCAACACACTTTTGTGTTATTTTAAGTTTTATAAAAATTAGATGGTTTTATTTTAAGTAATGGCCAAAGGAAAATGAAACATTTAAGAAAAACTTAAAATTTATATTGTCCTTTTGCTAAGATTGGTATATCCAATTCCAACACAAGTGAGCAACACTTTTTCTGAACCTGTGCCTGTTTGGTTTTCATCATCACTTTCATAATGTTCTATTTTAAATGTTACACCAAAAAATTCTTTTAAATGTCTAAGAAAGCCTATGGAATAGTCTGTCAATGGTCCTATTACTATTTTTGATACATCTTTTTGCCCTAGTGCCATATTAACTATAGCTAAAGACTGTGAAGTGGAATCAGTTACTCCTCCCAAGTAGATTTCATATAATAATCTTTGGGCAGCAGCAACTCCCAAATCTTCAGGTATTGATAATTCTTCACCATCTGTTACCACATTAGAAACCTAGAATAATATAAAATGATGTTAAACAATTTAAATAATAAATTTGAAACTATAATTGACAAAACTGTCCAAAACTTATTTAGTGAAAAAAATATTTTGTTAAACAAAATTTGTTATGAAAAAAAAAAGAAAACAATTATACTGTATTGCCAAAAATTAGATAAGCTAAATCAGTTGATAACATAATTTAGGAAATCATTGGACAATAAAAGTAATAAACTAAACATTTTAATAAAAAATACAGTAAATTTTAATAGACAAAATATAAAAAAAATTGATTTAATGTGTTCTGATCAGTTGCTCCTAAATTGTTATTAATTAAATTACCTGTTCTGCAGAATAAATAACACCAGTAGTAGTTTCTGCCATTAAATGTATACCAAATCCAGGACTTTTACCAGTTTGTTTACCTTTACACTGATCAGTACTTATAAAAATATCTGGTATAAATTTTAACAAAACTCCTTTAGCTGTGTCCACCATTCTATTAGCTATAGCAGGTGAGACCCTTAATGCATATGCAGTCCCCCTTATTCTTTTAACCATGCCACTCTCAGAAAACTGTATTGGTCTTACTTGTTTTCTAACAGGGCATTTAAAAACTACTTCACCTCCTCCCAAAGGCCTCATTCCTCTCTTTTTAATTTTTAAATCCAAATCGTCATCGTCCAAAACGAATTTTTTTAAGGTTTGCATCATAGATGTCTTCATTAAGTCAACTGAAGGGTCTATATTGTTACTTGTTACCCCTCGTAGAGTTACATTTATTGGTTGCTTGCAAAACAAACCCAAAATAAATAGGGCCTCCAAATAATAGCCTTAAATAAAGTATAAATAAAGTATAATAATTTGTATATAAAAGAATAAATTGGGACCACATACCAATTCCTCTTTGTAACGAACAATCATGTTCTGTTGTACCACCATACAACAAACCAGGTTGAAAATATAAAGATGTTCCAGTTTCATTTAATTCTACCACTGTTCCATTTGTAATTTTGTCCAGAAGCCTGATAAGGCTTACTTCAAATTCTCTTAAGCCTGGTTCATCGTCCAAAGCACGAATTTCATTAATTTTTACACATTTTCCACTTAATATTGATAAAATTAGTCTTTGTTTAAGGAAACTACTTCCTTTGTATAATAGCACGTTTCCTTTTACTAATGCTGTGGTCATTATTTACGATGAAAAAGAACGAAAGCACTGATGTTTCTGTTTTAAGGTTATGTTAAATTTTTAGGTTAAGTAGTTTAAATCAACCACATGTGTTTGTTATGCATTGTAAAAAAGTAGTTCAAAAATTAATAAATTGTGTTTGTTCCAAACTTTAATAATAGGTTCTTGAATGTTTTGATAAATATTTTTTTTGTAGTGACTAGGTATTTCCCTCGTCTTCATTTCCATTAATCACAAACGCGCAATTTCGAATTACAAATGGTACAAATGGTGGAAAACTTGGAATTAAAAAGGTTTTTTATTCAAAGGTGGAAAAACTGTATGACAGCACCTGTCAGCAGTTTTTTCGAGTTTACCTGCAAAGATATTATCTTTGTTTACCCGCGGCAAAACTTGACAGCTGTTGTCACCAAAACTGCAATTTATATTTAACCCACAAAGTAACGAAATCTTGACGTAAACGAGACCTTTTCAATCAGTCGTGACTTGGACCCCAGATAACAATTATGACAACATTTAAGACATCAACGTGAAATCATTGCTGATTCATTAATGATAGCACAAGATGTCCTGAGGACATCCGGTTTAAATCCTTTACAGACGGTCGCGACCAGAAAACCGATGGACGTCCTGAGACCTAGGCCTATGGACGTCCTAAGGCCTAGGCCGATGGACATCCTGAGTACGTCCATCGGTTTTTTGCCTGCGACAATAGTTGAAGATACAAGTTGATATATCACCCTTTATAAAGGCCTTTATAAAAGGTGATATATCAATTTGTATCTTCAACTATTGTAGCAGGCAAAAAACCGATGGACGTACTCAGGATGTCCATCGGCCTAGGCCTTAGGACGTCCATAGGCCTAGGCCTCAGGACGTCCATCGGTTTTCTGGTCGCGACCCGGGTCTAAGTGAAAAAAAATTACACCTTGTTTTTTATTAAAAATACTCCTTAATCAAGCACGATAAAAGATTTTTAAAAAAAGTTGTCAATTTTTTTTCACTTATATGTCTATAGATATACCCTTTATCCACTTAAGTGGAATTGTGTCTTTAGTTGTCAAGTATTTTTAGCAATTGCAATTTTCCATATCTCTAACTTATTTAAAAATATCTAGTAAAATTAATTAATTCATTGCATTAAAAATATCATTACAAATTTAAAAAAATTATTTTTAATTATATTATATATATTAGGTATATTATATTTTTAATTTGTTGAATAAAAAATATCACATTGGCCAAATTAATAATTTGAATTAATAATATTATATGAGAAATGTATAATACAAATTAAAAATACCATTGGAGAAATTTCTCCACTTTAACATTTAAATTATTTAATTTGTCCTATAATATTTTTAATGCAATAAATTGTAAGAGTTTATTTCAAATTTACCGCCAAATAAACAGTTGGTATTGGAAGTCAGTTTAGTGACTTTAAGTTGGCAGTCTGAAATCCGCCATGTTGGCATTGTTCATAAAACAGCGTGTGCTGTTTTTAGTTAGCTCCCTGTTTAGTTAAATTTCTATGTATTTAAATATATGATATAAATGAAAAACAACTTTTATTATATGGAAAAACCCCTACAAAATTTAAGTTTTCACTTGATATTTTTAAATAATTTAGAGATATGAAGGTATGTGAAATTTAATGGAGAAATAAATAAAAATAGTAGGTATTATGAAAGGTTTATTTATGAGGCGCCGTTTGTGCCATAATTAATCTCTCCTATATATATTTAATTTTGCATATTTATGTATTTTTACAATATAAATATATATTTATTTCATATATTTATACATGTTTTCTATATATATATTTATTTTTATAAATATATATATATATAAATAAATAAATTTATATTTAAATGTACAAATATATATTTGTATTTGGTTTTAATATATTTATAAAATTCGACTTCACCCGTTGATCGCTAGAGGCGCTGCTCAACTGATCAAATGTGTCAACGCTGTAGCTAGGGCCTCACCGAATTAGCCAATGGGAGGTTTTGTTTACTAATTTAAAATAACGGTAAACATTGTTTTCCCTGTGTTCTCATTATTTTATGATACAAAGATTTAATTTAAGTGTATGTTCTTTGGGTGTAGGTATCTTGGATTTAAAGCGCCTTTTAAACCGCTGTTGTATGGTTTTATTTAGGGAGACACGTAGATACTCGCAATATTCCGTTTTATTAATAATTTTAAAACACGGTGTAAATTTTTTTAACCACGCAGAGACCTTGCAGAACAAACCGTTATTTCCAGAGTTTCCTTGTCTCTAGTTATTTCAATTCGTAAACAAAAGCTCCTATTGGCTAATTGGGTGCAGCACTTGCTACAGCGTTGCCACATTTAATAAGTTGAGCAGCGCCTCTAGCGATCAAATGGTGAAGTCGAATTTCATAAATATATTAAAAGCAACTACAAATATATATTTGTGCATTTAAATATATATTTAAAAAAATAAATATATATATAAAAAAAAATATTAAAATATGAAATACAAATACATAAAGTAAAAAATAAATATATATTTGGTAAAAAATAAATATATATTCAAAATTATATATATATTGGAGAGTTTAATTATGGCACAAACGGCGCCTCATATTTATTGTTTTAACTTAAGGAATATATGGTTAACGGATTGACCTCCTTTTCCCGGACACCCTGTATATATATATATATATATATATATAAATATATTAACAAAACACTTGTTAACACTGTATTACATTTCCCTATTATAATAAAACTATGTCCTAATTCGGTCCTCATATGTCCCGAATTGGACAGCTTGGGGTCAAATACGGACGTCCTGAGGACATCTGAAACAGTCTATTTCGGAAGTCTGTGGACGTACTACGAACGTACTTTTGCAGACCCCGGACATCCTGAGGACGTTCGGGTTGTCCTGGGTGGAAGTCCTACGAACGTCCTACGAACGTATACTTGTGCTATCTGGGTTCAGTGATGTCACTGAGGTACGCATATGTGTTCCCCTTTTGATGAGCAACATGATATCCTTAATGAGTCACACGATGAATTCGTTGTGACATCAACGTGAAATCATTGCTGATTCATTCAGTGATGTGGCACGCATAAGTGTTGCACTTTTGATGAGCAACGTGAGATCCTTAATGAGTCACACGATGAATTCATTATGAAATCAAAGGGATGTCATTAATGATTTTACTTAAGGGACCAAAAATACTAAAATTAATTAAAATAAATATTTATTTTCTTAAATAAAATTTAGAATATTTAAAACATGTTTTTAATAAAATTTAAAAAAGTAACTTGCATCTGATTATTAATTTTTATACATGTATATTAGGCAGGGTTGGCAAAAATCTGTGTTTTTGTATGATCTGGGTAGGTATTTGGGTATTTGTGTTGGGTTTTTGTGTTTTTCTTGGGTATTTGGGTAATTGTTGGTATTTGTCGTATTTCCGGAACTCTAACCTCAAATTATAGAAAAATAACATTAATTTTGAACTTTTGTCTAGACTATTTTTGGGCTTTTGTATGGGTTTTTGTGTTGGGTTTTTGTATGGTCGTTGGGTGGGGTTTTGACACAAAAACCCTGTGGGTTTTTTAAATGGGTTTTTCGTTTTGCCAACCCTGAAATTAGGGTGCTTCAAAAAAAAAATTTAATTGTTTTTTTTTTGCTCTTACCCCCTCAAATGTTTCTATTTAATGTAAAAAAATCCTCACCAAATATGGGCGTTCCAGCTCAACTCTAAGAGGTCGCTGTTTTTTCCCATTTAATTAAAAAATAATTTTATGTTTGGAATTTTATACCTCTGTATCAAAGTAACCACAGAACATAAGTAAAAGTAACTTATGGCAATGATCATTGAGTTTCTTATATAAAATGTAACGCTCTACAGAAAAGGTCTCTTATTATTTTTCGATAAATTGATTTCGTCTAGAGTTATTCGAGGTCAAAGTTTGATTAATATCAAATTTTCTGTTTTTTTTTTTTAAATTTCGTAAAAAAAAAATTTATTGTTTTTTTCGGTTTCTAAATCATTTGAAAATATATTTTTTCGGTTTCTAAATCATTTGAAAATATATTGACTCACAAGTTCACGCCTTCAATACAAAATAATTGTTCTGAGCCTGTAGAAACTTTTCCATCGAACTTTTTTTTCGGATTGTATGCAAACTAGGGTGCTTCAAAAAAAATATTTTTTTTTTATCAATCACCAACATTTGAGAGGGAAAGAGTTGAAAAAAAAATTAAATTTTTTTTTTGAAGCACCCTAGTTTGAATACAATCCGAAAAAAAAGTTCCAATGGAAAAGTTTTCCAAATTTGTACCTTCCCAGATAGCACATGACTTCCCATGGACCTCCTGATTAGGTCCATTTGGGACGTTCCGACTTGGACATACTGTGGATTTCCCATGGACCTCCTGATTAGGTCCATTTGGGACGTTCCGACTTGGACATACTGTGGATTTCCCACGGATCTCCTTATTAAGTCTATTTCGGCCGTTCCGAGTTGGACATCCTGTGGATATCCACCGAACATCTGTTTGGGACAATGTTTGATTTTTGCTGGGGAACAAAATTAAGATTTGTATTCGATTTAATTGATTAAAGTTATTCAATATATTTGTATTATTAAACATAAAATTTATGTAATAAGAAACATTGAAAAGAAAAAAATACAAAAATCATTTTTTTGCTAAATCTATAATCAATATATTTTTGAGCAGAATCTAATATTTAATATTTTTATATCAAACATGTCAAACAGAGATAAAGAAGGTTGTCAAATAAACAAAATTACGTCTAAATTTAACTTACTGTACAGCTTTGGCAGTGTTGCCATTTTTTTGTTGCCAGAATTACCAACAAAGAGTCTTCAAGATTAGGGCATGTAGATAAATATTTATATCTGATAGCTTTATCCACTATATAGTGGATATGAACGAGATTTTATAAAACCTGATTGGTAAAAATAACATTCGAGCAATTTTTTAAAAACTGAGTAGGTTTAAAAACAAATGAAGTAAATAGAAACTGTTAAAAGCAGCAAATTTAAAAACAAAAAT